CACACACACACACATCCACACAAACACACACACGCACACACACACACACACACACACACACACACACACACACACACACACACACACACACACACACACACATACACGCACGAATGTACACATACATACACACACTCACACACGCAGAAACACAAAAATAAATGGCAAATATCCACCAAAACGTGGATGACTCACCAGAATAGCGTCTAAATTATCACTTTGCAGTAAGTATTTTCAAACATAAATGAGATCTTGTCCCTAGAGTAGCAAGTCCTTCACAACAGGGCACTCCAGACAATGTTGGTGTAGAGCATTGGTATTGGGAGAGAGAGAGAGAGAGAGAGAGAGAGAGAGAGAGAGAGAGAGAGAGAGAGAGAGAGAGAGAGAGAGAGAGAGAGAGAGAGAGAGAGAGAGAGGGAGAGAGGGAGAGAGGGAGAGAGAGAGAGAGAGAGAGGAGAGAGAGAGAGAGAGAGAGAGAGAGAGAGAGAGAGAGAGAGAGAGAGAGAGAGAGAGAGAGAGAGAGGGAGAGAGGAGAGAGAGGAAGAAGAAGAAGAAGAAGAAAGGAAAGAAAAGGAGAAGTAAAATGATAAACGGATAGATAGATAGATGGAAAGAGGGGAAGAAAAGAGAGAGATAAAAAGATAGATAAGAGCATTGGTATTGGGAGAGAGAGAGAGAGAGAGAGAGAGAGAGAGAGAGAGAGAGAGAGAGAGAGAGAGAGAGAGAGAGAGAGAGAGGGAGAGAGGGAGAGAGGGAGAGAGGGAGAGAGAGAGAGAGGAGAGAGAGAGAGAGAGAGAAGAGATGAGAGAAGTAGAGAGAGAGAGATGAGAGAGAGGAGAGAGATGAGAGAGAGAGAGAGAGGAAGAAGAAGAAGAAGAAGAAAGGAAAGAAAAGGAGAAGTAAAGAGATAAACGGATTGATAGATAGATGGAAAGAGGGGAAGAAAAGAGAGAGATAAAAAGATAGATAAGAGAGAGAGGAGTGAGAGAGATGATAGAGAGAGAGAAGAGAGAGAGAGAGAGAGATGAGAGAGAGAGAGAGAGAGAGAGAGAGAGAGAGAGAGAGAGAGAGAGAGAGAGAGAGACAGACAGACAGACAGGCAGACAGACACAAAGACAAACAGACAAAGAAAGGCGGAGGGGGTGAGGTAGAGAGAGTAACCATTTCTTACATAAAATGCTATTCGCTACATTTACTCGCGCGTAAATATATACACACAGACATCAAACACACACACACACACACACACACACACACACACACACACACACACACACACACACACACACACACACACACACACACACACACACACACACACACACACATATATGTATGTGTGTATGTGTGTGTGTATGTGTGTGTGTGTGTGCGCATAAATATATACACGTATGCTTACCCCCCAAACAAAAGCACACCGGGCTAGCCAAAACGATGAAATAAAAAAAGACCGGAAACTTGTGTGGTCAGAGGGTGGAGGTGTAGGGGGGGAGGGGGTTGCGGGAGGGGCAGGTGTGAGAGGGGAAGGTAGGGGGCAGGCAGAGGTAGAGGAGGACCAGGTGAGGTGGGGTGGGGGGGGTAGGGTAAAGAGGGAAAGGGGGGGTAGGAGGGAAAAGGTTCCGCCCTTCGTGAATTAGAACAGGTGTCATTTCCGTTATTTATAGCTCTCGGTTCACCTCTAGCGCCGTTCCTCTGTGGGGTTTCTGTGGCTACCAGATACCGGGAATACTTGGTGTCATGACCAGGGCCTACTCGTATACTCCGCCTCCCCCCCCTCCCCCTCCTTCCTACGTCCTCCCCTGGCACTTTACCCCTTCCCCCCTCCCCCCACCACTCTGTCCCCGCCCTTGCGTCTGTTCCCTTTTTCCACTCCTTTTCCTCCTCCTCCCTGTCCTCGACCCCCGTCTCTATTCTCTTTCTTCTTCTCCGTCTTCATCTCCCTACCAACCCCCATCTCTCTATCGTCATTTCTTTATCTTCCTTTCATCTTCCCTCCCCTTATTCCTTTCTTTCTTCTTGTTCTCCCCTTTCCGCTTCTTATCTTACTCCCTGCCTCTCTTCCCTCCTCCTCTATTCATGCGTCTTCTACCATCTCCTCTGTTTCCCCTTCTTCCCTTCCCCCACCCTATTTCCCCTTCCCTTCCTCCCCCTCCCTCCCTCTCCCCCCCCTTTCCCATTCCCTTCCTTCTCCTTCCCCGCTCCCCACTTCCTACCCCCCCCCTCCCCTTCTATCCCCCCATTTCCCTTTTTCCCTTTCCTCCCCCTTCCCTCTCCCCACTTCCCATTCCCTTCCTCCTCTTCCCCCTCCTCTTCCCTTCCTCCTCTTCCCCCCTCCGCTTAGACAGACCCCCCCCCCCAGACCCTCTATAGGCCTATACAGCAAACAAACACATTGCGTCTCTCCGCTACTCGTTAACAATATCCTTAAGGAGTGTGTCTGAGGGAAAAGGAAAACAATCCCTCTCTATGACGTGTCGTGAGGAAGAGGGGGAGAGGGGGAGAGAGTAGAACAAGAAGAAATGAAAGGAAGAAGAGGGAAGAGAGGTGAAGATGGAAGGAAGAGAGGAAGAAGAGGGAGAGGGAAAGGATGAGAGGAAGAAGGGAGAGAGGGAAAGGATGAGAGGAAGAAGGG